TCTGACAATAAAGCTGACTTGACTTGATCTGCAAATTCACTGCTGCCACTAAATCTTACACACTGGTCCTTTAAACCTAACCTGCTTTGATACAGTATTTAAAATAGAAACTATTCAGATGTGATTAAAAACAATTAAGAGTAAATAAGCAAATAAACCACAAAATCAATGAATTTATAAAAATGCACATTAAAAACAAAATAAATATATTGATTGATCCATCCTGGTGTTAAATAAATATAATAATAGAAATTAATGAATTAAGCAGCATCGCTTTATAAATCAGTCTGTTTACAAGTGGAAATGGACAGAAGACAACCCTACAAAACTAATTAGTCAGTTCATAATTGTACACACACACCCTGACTCGTCTATTTCCAGAACTTAACCCACAGGGCGAGTTGAAAAGTAAAAGTAACAAAAGGTTACGTAAGACAGATTCCCTCAGCCGTGACTCAAATCTTTGTTGAAACTTTAAACCTCTACATCTTATATGGGCTGGAGGTCACTGACAAAATTACACAAAGAAGGACTTTCTGATTTTATAAGGTAACTTATTTAACTATTTCACACACTGCAACAACAGGTGTGTGATATACGAGGCCAACATTACACCAGTATGTGATTGATATTTACATCATGTAGTTGTGCTGCGAGGGATTTGCCACTGATGTTGGGCAATAAGGCCTGCAGTCTGCATTTAAACCAAGTGTGAACCTATCGTGACACATATGATTCAAACTCACCTAATGGATAAGGTTGAGCTCAGGACTTCTGCACTAAACTTGTAAAACCATTTCTTTATGGACCTCGTTTTGGCATCAGTTTGGGAAAGAAAACTTTCAGGATCACAATATACACAACGATGGAAGCACACTTTTTTTCGGAAATATCACTGAATGCTGGACCATAAAGATGTGATGTTATTTAGAACGAAGGAGTCAGGCCCCAAACCATCAACAGACTAGAGTAAAAGCAGGAGGACAGGGCTGTTATATTCACATAACTTCGGCTCTGCAGTGTTATTAGTCTGTGCTCTGTTGTGCATTGTTTGTATTTGATTTACAGCAAATGATTATTTTGATTACTGATTATAGGTCTGCACAATTCATCGAATTTACTGAAATCGCAATATGGCCAAGTGCAATATCGCGAATCTCAAGAAGCTGCGATGTTCCTAGAGAAGCTAAATGTGACATAACAGCATTACACTGAGCAGTACTGTAGCTGCTGCAGAGATGTCCTGGCCTACAAATCGTGTCCTCAAGATTGAAGAAAGCAACAACAGACAACATTTCATATCATCATGATTTAAATAGTTTTCCAGTGAAAATTAAATCTGCGATGCAAAACTGATCGTCCTCACACTCGTGAATCACATCACAATCACAATATCTGTAAAAGATAATCACAATATGGTGTTTTCACCATACCGTGCAGCCCTAATCAGTTATTTTTTCAGTGATTAAATTATCGTTGATTAAGTATCAGAAAACAGTTTTCTTGACAAATGACTTCAATGATTACTGGATGATCAATTAATCAATTAAATTTGTGTTGATCAACTATGATCAATGGACTAATCTTTTTGGCACTCATTTTTATATAGTGTACTCCATAGGTGGTCTATAGGCTCCTATTGTGTTGCATGCAAAGGCTTCAACTGAGCCTAAAGGAACAGGATTAATGTCTCCATTGTACAGCCACGTTGCCACATATTCAAGCATACAAAAATAACACTAACAATCTTGAACTTGAATGCTCCCTGATGCAAAACATCTGCTAGCTGAGTGCACTGAGCAGGCGTACAAGCACTGCGCAGGCATTATTACACATACACACATGTAGGCTACAGCTCCGCCTGAAGCCTATAATGAGATTCTGAGTGAGCGGGTGAACTTTCCCCCAGATAGAGAGCAGACACAGGGAGGGAGGGAGGGAGGGAGCTGCAGAGAGCGAGGGAGCGAGTCAGTGAACAAGGAGGAGAGGGAGTGATTTATTGTGATTATTCAGAGTAGGGATGCAGATAAAAACAGAAAAAATAAAGATTACCGAGTATAACAGGAAGGTGGAAGGAGACGGCGAGAGAAGGCAAATTTACTGCAGCTGGCCTCTCAGGCGTGGAGATAAATATCCTGTGTACAGCCACAGCGGAGTGCACGTAGGGATATAATGTGTGTTAGGTCTGCTGCACCGTCTGAAGCATATTTCCATCTATCTGCAGTTATAAACACATATATACACTCTTGAGACAAAGCCATTCACAACCAGCGTCTTCCTGACATCACATATCACTGTTAACCTGCAGGGGCTGCTTCATATACAGTTATCACTACACTGAATGGCTAAAATACAAAGTGGCTGTTTCTATTTGCTCTTAAAATAAATACCAAGCATGCTTTGTTGTAGCAAGTTTTTCCTGTTTTTCTGCTTAGCCCCACCTCCCTGTGTGTTGGCAGACTGACAGCAGAGCACATCCCCTACTCACCAACACAGCCTGAGCTCTGTTCATCCCTCGTACATCTGCCACAACAGCTCGGGCTGCAGACATTTAAACCGCTGTGTCCGCATTGGTACAAGGAACAGCAGTGAATTCCTCCCTTAGTGCACAAAGTCAGAGTGTCAACACAACAGCACAGTAACATAATGTTAAACAGGCCCTCCCGGCAACATGACCAACAGAGTTATGTAACAGCCTATTCTCGTAATAATGGTGTCGCTGGATTATATAGGCCATAGTATTAGCATTGGTTCAGATACCATTCATGTGCACGTCATCCCTTTTATAGTATGCGAGGTGTTCACAGAAGAACCTCAACAACAGGAAGCATAAAGCACGGTGGGTGTGATTGCATTCAAAAGTAAACGCACAGAAGTTCAGACTGAAATGTTCAGAGCAACATTCAGGTACTTTTCCACACACGGCAGCACCTGTTAGCTCAGGATTTTGGAAGTAAATCTCTTCTCCATCTGTCCCACACACCGCCACACATTTTGAGAAAAGGAAGCCGACTTTACAGTAGGTGTTTGTAGTAAACATGTATGGCTACAAGAATCATGCCCAGACAGTAAAGGACATCTAAAAGCAAGTGTACAATCCTTCCGTTATTTTGCTGCTCACCATTGTGTGAGGCATATAGGAAGCTCATAAATGTGTCATGCCCGAAGATAACCAGGTAGGAGAGCCAGGTATTCCCTGGAAAAGAGCCTTGAGATCAGGGTATGCAAAGATCTGATCAAAAGTTGGATTCTTTAACTTCTGCTTCCTTCAGTATGGTCACACAGTATTTCCTATCATCATAATATAGAATGAGCAGTCCCATGTCAATCACTACCTCTGGAAATCTCTCAAACATTCTTGAGTTCCTCCAACTCAAGATTTGGGAGTCTTTGACACACCATTATAAGAAGTGACATGAGTGTGTTTACTTCTGGTTGTCACTCTCATAACTGTCAGCCCACCAGCTAGCTTAGTGGCTAAAGCTAAGCAGCAGCTGCAGCCAGGCTTAGACAGGAAGAAAGATGCTAGCTACCAACGCATCCTTGGCATTTGTTAAGTAAAGTAACAAACAAGTTCTTTGCCACAAGAAACGTGAAACCCCCCCCCCCTTTCCCCACATTTCAGGGCTGTTGTGCCGCAGTCTGTCCCGCCTCTGCTGTCAGCTCCGGAGCATGATGCCTACGTGACACAGACTTGTTTACTTCATCCGCCTGCTAGCACAGCTGCTCTGTAGCACTCACTGCACACAGTTTCCACTGACAAACTGTCGAAAATGTGAGAAAAAGAAACAAGCGAGAACCCAGCGGCGGTGTGCACCCTACCTGCCCTGTCCCGCGTGTTTCTCGGGCGGCAGGAGCCCCTCATAGTCCCGGTTTAAAGCCTCTTCTTCCCAGCGTGGTGGTGAGGACTGAGTCCCTACAGCAGCACGAGCAGCAATGAATGAAGCGAGTGAGAGCAGCTGACACAGCCGCGCGCTCATTATCGCCTCCACGTGCGCGCGCGAGCACACGCACACCCACTTGTTATTGTTTAGCTGTATTCCTGCACCTCCATGTACGGCCTACACCCTTTGTCTAGATATGTTTTAAGCCTTTCTGTGTGTGGAGCAGAATGGGTCGCACATGCATCAGGTAGTGCGTGCAACTGCCCCATGACTCCAGACCACAAAGGACTCACAAAGCCTCAGCTTCACCTGTGTCAAGTTGGTTTTTTGGTCATTATAATGCAATGTCAATTAAGGTGAGTCCTGAATTAACACATAATGTTGAGACCTTGTTTCCTGTGTCAAAATGCAGTTATAATGCACTGAGGTGTAGGGGGGTAAATAGTTGCCCAGCAGTAACTTTTGCCCAGGTGGCCTAATAACAGGTTCATCCAGACATGGCCTTGTGTGAGAATCAGAGACAAAAAGCAGAATCTCATTTGTATCCGAATTTTTTAATGAATGTATAATACACAGCACAGATAAAACCAATGTTTCTTTAAAGTTGACTTCCATCTGCGTTTATCTGCTTCTGTCTGAGTACATCTTTCAGTGCAGTCAGGATAAGGTCACGTTTGTCTGTAGCCACTGGGAAGCCCACCTAACACCGCAAAGAAATGTTAAGATCATTCAGTCGACATATTTTATGGACGTTTACAGAACAGTATGTGTCCTCATCCTCTTACTTGTTTGAAACTTGAACTCTTTCTGATCCTCTCTGCGACAACTGGAGGATGAGTAGATGTAGGAGAAGGAATCCAAGGGGTAGTCGGACTTTGGTATCGTCGGTCTTTGTACTGTGGTGTCTGCTGGGAGCTGGTGCTGCCTTTGATGGAGGGAACTGGTGGCAAAGGCCCTTTACGCAGAGAAAGGGAGATGGACGCCCCTGCAGCTCTCGGCAATGTCTGAGATATTGGGCCTGTCAAATATGTCAAAGCACCATCTTGAAATATGTTCACTTTTGCAGCATAAGTTGAACTTTTAAAAAACAGCATAAGAGGAACTTTTTTCAAGATACCTTTGTTCCTCAGCTCTCTCTGCACAGCCTTTAGTCCTCCAAATTGGTTGATGATACAATCAACAGCTTCAGCGACATCTTTGTCTAACAGGTCTTCCTCAGTGAGTCTTGCCTGCAACAACAGCCTCCTCATATCGGCGTCCAAATCCTTAAACTTCACCAAGAAGATACATTGGGGGAATGGACTAAGTTACCATGTTATTCACACATGGACTAATTACAGTTTGACAGTGTCATGGTGGCTGTTGAATTTCTATTTGGCTCATATAGGCTGTTAGCAATCCACTGTATAATCTGACTTACTATGCTGGTGGTTGGTGTAACTTCTGTGGATGGTGCATCCATTGGGAAATGTTGCTCCCCATGCAAATGGTCTAGTGTATTCATTCTACAGATAACAGAAACCAAAAGCAAACTATCACTCTCGTCCTCTACTGTCTTCTCCTCTTTACTTCTGTAAAGTCCTAATATTTTTGTCACCTTGAATACGGTGACTTGTCACTTGTTGAGCTGTCTCTTTCCGCGTTTGTTATTTCAGTCATCCTGGTTGTCTTTTCTGCAAAACAGAAGACGTACAATGAGAAGAAATAAGAGTCTTATGCAGTGCTTCCATGTGAAGAGAGCACACACAAAAGTGTTGATACATACGAATCATCTATTTGTTATTCTAACCTTGGTTTCTTTGGACAGCCTCCACTACAAGATAAAATTCCTCTGCCTCGGTCACATTTGCAAAGTTGAGACCTACTTGGTGGCCCTGTGAAAACATTGTAAATCCAGCTTAAACCACTTTCATGAGCATGTTGCATACACCGATACTTTAAAACTGGGCTACTTACATCTGCAGGAAAAGTGTGGAAGAACCTGCGAGTTGCAGCATACTTGAATGGGATGTACATCTCTTGCTCCCACAGTAACTTTGCACGCTGTGTTCAAAGAATGATGAGGGAATGATGAAAGGAAAGGAAGAAAGGAAAGCAGTTCTGAACAGCTATTACAGTAGTTACGTGAGGAAAAGTACAGACACACCCATCAAGATAAGTCTCCCTATTGTTACTAAAGGAAATAAGAGGAATTAGAGGAAACGTTACAAGCTGTCCCCTAAGTGCAACTGTGCTCGAACCCACAAAATGAAAAAGTTATGTCACTTCATTGAGGGAAGTGGTGTGTTAGTAGACGTGAGTAGGTGGAGTATCTCTAATCAGTTCTGCAGTTCCTCTTACCTTGACACAGTAGAGACGCAGGAAGTAGGAGTGAATGGACTCATCCTCAACAAGACACACCGTGCCACATCCCAAACAACTCCAGCCCGGACTTTCATGCTGCGTCTCTTTGGCAACTAGTACCTGTGCTACTGTAGTTTTGATCAGCTGAAAAACACCAGTAGTCACACAAGTCACGACAATGGGATACACTTATTCAAACTAATGCATATGTATTAAGAGGACTACTCAAGAGCCTCTAATCAGCAACTATAAATTGTGTTTAAGTTTAAATAATCCCAAAAATGCCAATACTTGTTTTTATAATGAAAACTCCAAAATAATAATTAATCAAGACTATGTCAATAAAAATGAGTCTGACATATTATCCTATCATTAAAGTAGACTAAAAGGTTTCTTTAGTGTTTTAAAAGGGTTTCAAGTCCCAAAAAAGACCATTGTTTCCTCTGTTACTTTCTTTTTAGTCTCAGTTTTCCACTTTTGTGACTCAAAGTAACCTTTGAGACATTGTGGTTTAGTTTCAGAGCGTTACATAGCGGTGAGGCTGCTCCTCAGAGAGACCATGACCTCTTTTTGGAGGCTGATGATGCTGGGAAATGATCCATTTAACTTCTTTTATATCTTGTGTGAGCTTCAGGAGATCAAACCACTTTATTACACCCTGCCCTGCCATAATTTAGGTTTATCATTACTCTTCCAGGTCCTTTATCACCAGGGGTTTACAGTTGCCACAGGCAAATCATCATCACCCATATGAGTACACAAAACATGTGGGGTCACAGGATTAAGGTCTCATCTTTTCTCTGTTAATAAGTCACTCTGATGTTCACCGTTATGTTGATGACACACTGTTTTACTTGTCTATAAACCCAATTGCAAACTCTTCTTTCATTGAGGACCATTTTCAAGTAATTTTTGTTTTTAGTGATAATGTTTTTAATCTTTCTTTCTCATTAGTCCATCTTTCTGTGTCATCTCCAACCTTTATCAAAGACAGCAACAAGTCTTTTTTCCTATGGCTGGATAAATACACATTTCTTTTTAAAAAATTTACATCTTACTGTTAAATTGTATGTGTTTGAGCTCTCTGTTTTATCCCGCATCTCTTTTTCTTTCTTTCTTTCTTTCTTTCTTTTTATTTATTTCTCTATTTACTTTTCATTGTTCTTTTATGGCTTAAGGGCTCTGTGCTTGTAACATGTGCCTATCATTGTACATTTTTACATCTTGTAGCACCTGCTCTGCATGTTACACACACCGTGAGGTAGTGCCAGGCAATACAAATAGCTGATCTTAACTGTAAACAAAACAGCCCTCACAGAGATCCCATTCATCCATCAGGCCCCTCTCAGATAGACGTTACTGATAACATGAAAACAACTCCAGGAAATAGAGGAATTAAAGTGACAGTGTTAGAATCAGAATCAGAATCAGAAATACTTTAATAATCCCAGGGGGAAATTACTTTCGTTACATACTCCAGAACATATAATATATTAAGAATATATATAAATATATATATATTAAGGTTAAAATGTACTGTTTAAAATCACACTTTCAAATGTGCAAAAA